TTCTAACAAACAAATGTGTTAAGCATGTTGTCGAGTCATCTCTGTAGATAAAATATTGTTCATGCTCACATGAAGCCATCAGGTGCCTTGTTCAATTACTGAAGTTTCACATGGGAATAGACAGTGTTTTTGTCTGTGGAAACTTAGTTTCTATTTGGTCTTGGGTTATGTCAATATGCCTTTGCAATCAGTAAAAATAGACAAGATAGATCCAGACTAATTTATATTTGATGAACATATTAGCCTGTTCATGAATCATGACAGTCACAACCAAATGAATACCATGCAATTGACAGCAGTATTAAGGGAAAGTAAATGAACTCTTTTAGATTGGAAAGAAAAGAAATGTGAATGTTCGAGAGTTCAAAGGAAAAGTTTTGATTGACATTCGAGAATATTACGAGGATGACGCAGGCAACATGAAGCCAGGAAAAAAGGGTAAAAAAATAAATCTAACAGACATTCTCACCGTAAATAAATTGAGTCAGTTTGTAACCATTCTAATACTAAACCTAACCTTATTAATTCTAACCTTAATCCTAAATCTAATCTCATCTTGGTTTGATCCGGGCTTAACAATAATCATAATACCCTAATCCTTATTACTGACTAGTAAGTTATGTCATAATCTATTTTTAGGTATATCTCTCCAGGTCGACCAATGGGAAGCTCTGAAAGAACATATTGCCAAAATAGACGAGGCAATTGAAGAGTTAAAATGAGATCTAAGAAATATTCTGACTTATAAAAAAGACCTCAACTTAAACTTTAGACTTAGTATTATGTAGATGAGAATGCATAAACTATATGTACAGTAAACCTGTTTGTTTAGCAAGTTTATTGTTTAATTGTTTTGGTTTTGGCAGGTGAATTTAATGCATTGAGAAGTATCTTTTCCCTGACAACTAAAATTGTCTGGCATCAGACAGAGTAACAAACTACAGTAGGGTACATCAGAGTGAATCACCACTTAAAAGGTTAATAGTCTTTTGTATGAATAAGTTGTTTCACACTAAAGCCCACTTTTCACCAGACGAATTTGTTTGCACAAAGCAAAAGCAAATCTTGACAATGTGATTGGTCAGCGAAAAAATTTGCCACGAAAAAGTTGGGCCCGTTTGCGCGAACAAATTCGCCAAGTGGAAAATGGGCTTAATTAAGGTGGCTACCTACACCTTTTACTGAAATGCATGATTTTCTGATTTGGACATGAATTTCTGAACAATAATTATTTGTTGAAAAACAAAGAGTATCCGACTTGAATACAAGGCTAACAGCTGTTGCTATGGCAACAATGAGGTTTCAATATGGCAGTTATTGTTGCAATGGCAATTGTGATTCCATTTTTTTCAAAAAAAATCCAACTCTCTAATCGGACTTTCTTTGTCTTTTAACATATAGGAATTGTTGGGAAATTGGGTCTAAATTGGAGATCTTCCATTTTCTAGTAAACTGTAGGGAGCCACCTTAAGTCAGTTCCCTCAAACATTTTTTGCAAATCCTTCAGACAATAGAATTACTTATGCAAATTCCTATTGTGATCACAAAGTCCTATAGCTATACTGTATTATAAAAAGCTGTTGATTTGGCAAAGCCGTCGGGGGCAATAATTCATTTGTGTATAAGCAAAATACACAAAAAAAACTAGGAAAGTGCGAAAGCAATTCAGATTTATCCAGGTTTTTTTTTACCCCCCAATATTGATTTACTTACTTCCAATGGCCGTGTTTGGCTATTGCTATTGAAAAGATATCGCTACTGACTTCCAGACATAGTTCTGCCTTGTACTTTTCAAGCCTACCTACACCAGACTACACTGGCATGCAAAACCGTTTGAGATTCTGTTGATTTGGGTCGCAAGTCGCAATACAACTTTAAATTCCAGAAAAATGTTGGCTAGTGTATTGGCCCTAAAAAGATATGCCTTATCGATCATAAATTTACATATACGAACTGTAATATTGGCGGTTCAGACATTCTGATATAAACATCAGAATAATATATACCATGCCTGAATAGGTTTACGATATGAAATTTGAAACCTTGATTGAACAGGGCTTGTGTGACGCGTTCTGTTTCAACTTGACATTCGTCAATCTTTGTAAGCATACCCTTTTCGTTTCTGAGCAGAATTGAGTGGGAGTTTCTCGCAGTATTTTGTGTTCGTTTTAGGCGCTCATCATGAAGATACCGTTCGCCGTCTTCGTCTTTGCAGGTAAGCAACGAATCAATTTTGATACGAATTTCTAAATTAAGCCCCGCTCAAAAAAACGAGAATGTGAACGGGCAAGCACGAATTGCCATAGGGAACATTTCAAGAGATGAACAAAATAAAGGTTTGAGTAGTATTCCAGCTATGTTTTATCTTAAATACAATACATGATAGTGTTGGCCAAAAACATTAAGAACAGCTAACCTAGGTCGCGCGGTTGCCAACTCTCATATCTTTGATATACTCGTTTCATCCGCGCTTTGACGCATCATGGACTTGACTGAGTATACGATTTAGAATTCATCTGGTCTCATGGGGGACGGAGTTAACCGAAAAACTCGAGGCTTGTTTCGCGTACATCCGATTGCAAATGCAGAAGGAATTTCCAATGACAGCTGTGGATAAAGAGATATAAATCTCCACCTGAACAATACAACTTCGTCGTTTCAAGCGAAGGACCCTGCGTTGGAAAGTTAGGGAGTTTACGCATGTAAGACGGCGAAGTCAGGACAACGGCTATATCAATACAATGACATTAATCCTGGCTATAACACAAAAGAAATGAATAGTTAGAAGTCTAGCAGGGGTTTTAGACGCCGTCGAAGCGCTGTTGACAACGGCAAAATGCATATTTTCACGCCTCGTAAAGTACGCCAGCATTTCAAGCCGTGACAGGCAATCTGTTTTCTAGCAGAGTTGATCAATATTTCTCGGAAGGTTAAAGCTCTGTTTTGATACTTGTTCGCAACTGTATTAAGG